CCCTCTCAACACACAGCCCTATTATATTTAGAAAGACCCCTTACATTAGGCGTTCGCGTCTTTCGGATGTACTCTGCTACGCAGCAATCTTCATGCGGAGCCTCGCCGTTTGTTGTGTCGAGATTCTTCAACCAAGGCCGAAAACTCATGTACGGAGTCCATGCAGGGCTCAGGTTTGGGTTTAAGGTTTCCCCAAACCCGGAACCCTAAATCCTAAACCTTAAACCCTGAACCCTGAACCTAAACCCCAATATGGATTGTGTACAGTTTGTAGGGACCCGAAGGTTCCAGAAGGGGTTTAGGGTTTAGGGAAGGTCATAGGGCTTAGGGAAGGGTCATAGGGTTTAGGGTTTAGGGTTTAGAAGGGGTTTGTAAGAACATGAGGTTCCTAGGGAAGGGCCAAAGCTGCAAACCACAAGCCCCCAAGCTAAACCCTAAACCCGAAATCGGCCGGTTTTGGGGTTCAGGGACCTAAAGGTCCGAAACCTTCCACATGGAACATCCCTGGCAGACCCTTTGAGGCACTCGCTAGAAAGCTGGTGCTCGACAAGGCCTACAGACGGGCTTTGGGACCTTGGAGCTCGCAGGCTCGGCAGCTGGCTTTGGAGCTGAATCTTCCCCACGGGGACTGGCTAGCTGAGGCGGTCTACTGTTGGCTGCAAGAAGCTAGAGGGGAAGCTAACATTTTCCGAAAACCTATGACTATTACAGCGACGAGCTTACCTGGATGTCGCTAATGTCCCCGGTGGAGATTCACGCTAAGACGGGGATTGGCCGTGACCCGGTCTGTGCCCCGGAGCTACCGCCTCCGAAGCGAGAGCGGAACCGCAGGCTAGTGGAAGATGGCTGCGTCGTCCAAGCTACAGAGGAGAGGCTGCTAGACATCTGGTGCCGGAAGCTACGGGAGGAACTATTGATTAGCGTGCCGGTGCTGGTCACGCTACAAGGGAGTCTGGACCCCGTTCGAAGACGAGAGCCTCGACCCTTAAGCGCTATTTGAGCTACTACCGCCAATTGAGGCTACGGCTATGTGAGGCTAAGCTGAGGCCTCCACCGGGTCGTCCTTCGGACTTGGTGGACTACCTGCTAGCACCGGGATGAGCCCTGCGGGCGCTCTGTACCCAACACTATCATGAAATCTATCTTCTGGGTGGAGAAGGTGGCCGAGTTTGAGGAGAGTGGCGCGCTACCCACGGCCGCTTTGCCTGGGCCGCTATGGACAAGATCATGGAGATGCTCTCGGAGGGGGCCTCGCTCATCAAACCGGCGCCCCGCTATCCGGTGTTTATGCTGGTGATGCTCGAAGCCGTGGTCCTAGACTTGGGCCGCGCCGTACGCCGTGGGCTGGAGGATCTGGGCCTGCGCTTAAACTGGTGAAGGTCTGGGCCTGGGCCTCACTACGCTGGTGGCGGGTAGGCTAACCACGGTGCTAAGGCGGAACAAGACCTCTGGTCCGAACCGGGGCGTGAAGGAGCTGGCGGTCGCTATCTCCGAACACGCCTTATTGTGAAGATGGATTGGCTAAAGGTGGGCTTGCTTCGACCTTCTCAAAGTCCACGCTAACTACAAGCGGGACTACTTGATGCCGAGGCTATTCCAGGACGGGATCCTGGAACGGAAGCGCGCCAGCTACGGGGACGCTATGGTGGCTATTGCCGGTGTCCTGGAAATCGGCGGCTTCCTCGAGCTAGTAGATGGCTGCCAAGGCCCCTGGTTCTCGCTAGAAGTGGTGGAGAGTTGGGCTCCGTGGGCCTTCGCTAAAGGCGATCCGCAAGGTCATTGAGTCATTGCTGCGCTAGAACTTCTGGCTACGCTAGTGGGAGTTCGTCTTTTTGGGCCCCGGACGGGATGCTAAGAAGACGCCCCGTGTGGCTATTCGTGGCTACACCGACAACCAGTCCAACGAAGCCCTCCTAAGGAAAGCTATGACCGCCAAGTTCCCATCCGCGCTAATCCTCGTGGAGCTTGTGGAGGAGCTATCTGCGAAAAACTGTGAGCTTTAGCTACAGTGGATCAGGCGAGACTTGAACCAGCTAGCAGACGACCTCATGAACGAGAATTTCGGTAGCTTCGACACGAACTTCAGGATTGACCTGAAAGGGGACGGGCTGGAATGGCGCGTGCTAAGTCGACTCTTGGGCATGGCTAAGAGGACCGAGAAGGCGCCAGCTATGAGATTATCCGCGAAGCGAGCTCGCAAGCTAGATCCCTGGTAGCCCTCCGGCTTCGCTAGGAGATTAGCAACTCCCTCGTCCAGCAACTCAGAAATTCGTATGACAGCGGTGCGTGTTACAACCTACAGTCCATCGTGGAAAAAGAAATTTTCCCGGGCTTGGAAGTCGAGGATGAAAGTGGTTCCGAGAGACTTCGCAGTCACTTCGGGATCTTCCCATCGTTTGACATCAGGAATGTTGTTACGAAGGGAGAAGTCCGCACCTCTGGTGGTTCTTCATGTCCCCACGCAAGACCTCATCATGCTGGGAGGCAGAATCTCAAAAAGCGGGATGATGTTGGTCAGCAGGCCGATTCCGTTCAAGTGTGTTAAGGAGATATGGTTCTGCGTTCCTATTACAGCTTCAAGCTCTACGAGAAGATCATGGACCCAGGCATCGAGGACGAAGTTTGTCTGAACTACGAAGAATCCCCGATTGCACCAAGGTTCACCGATCGTCGATCTCCTGTACAGGTGATGAACATCCTTTGCGAATTTCCGAGCGGACCAAGAGATCAAGAGAAGGAAAAGAACATCAACGAACTCGCGAGGATCGTTGAACGTCCGCCAAATGATCCACATCGATTGAGGGCTATTCAAGAAGGTATCCATTTCGCCGTCAAGAACACACCGCCGTACGAGAATGACCCAAGAAGTTCAACGGTCAGAACCAGACTGTGCCCATGTTGCTTGAACCAAACACCCGCTTGTGTTGCTCGTTGCGCAAGCTGCTTCAGTATTCTCAGGTCGGATGGAAAATTCCAACGCGTTGCGCAACGACAACCTCCAGCCGAGATTCCGAGTGAGGACATCAACAACGCAATGGAAGAAGCAGCAGCAAACACGGCAACCGATCCAAAAGAAGAAGATGATGAAGATGAGCAGCAGTGAAGCGGAGGAGAATATTGATAACGACAACACTGCTGTCGAAGAATCTGAACAAGAAATGCAGGATGACGGTGAAGAGGCGGATGCCGATCCTGAGGAAGTGTTGGAACGAAGACCAGTGATTTTGCGGTTTAACGTTCCGACCATCGACGTGAACTCGGCCACAGCACGAATCTCGCTCCAGGTACCGTAGCATCCGCATGCCGAACCAGCACATTGCATTGATGCAATCAGACCTTCTTTCCCTTACTACATTGTTGCACGTTGTATGCATCGCATCTGGCCAACAATGATGAGATGGCATGAGGTTTCGTATGACAAGATCCTCGAACGAGCTCATCGAGGAAATCGACATGATGTTATGGGAGCATGGCCGGGGTTGTCTACCATGGATGAACGCACGAGATTGCCAACGGACGTTGAGGACTCAGAGATCCTACAGCTTGCCATCGCGCAAGAAAAGAGAGAAGACCCCGAAGGAACATGGCAACTACGTCGGTTCCGCGCAGCCCAGTTGCTTGCAACCCTCATTCGAGGAGCTCGCCGACTCGGGTATGATCGCGAACATCAGAAACGGGGTGCGCAGGAGATGTACGTCGGTCTTCACCATATACTTCAGGACGTCATCGCAAAGACAGCTGAGCAAACATGATTCTCAGTGCTCAAGACGCCTATGCCCGGATATGTTCCATATTTGCAAATCGACCCTGCGGGTGTTTTGCATATTGACGGCCGCGGGAAGACGCCTGAGCGCGCCATTGAAATCGTTGTCAACAGCGACGTTCAGCTGCCCGCCACATTCATTGACAAGCTCCAGAAGGCAGCAACCTCAACCAACAGACCGGTGCATGACAATACGCTACAAGATCAGGTTGAAGTTTCAACTTGTCTTGCACGGTTGGCGGCAGAAGCTGCATCAGGCAGCACGAGGGCCCCCAGAGCCAAAGGGACCGGCCGAGAGCCAGTGGACGCAAGGGAACCTATCCCACGTCATCCCGGTTTTGGAAACGCAAATCGATGGGCCGATGCCAAAGGGAAAGGCGAGGAGACGGCCGAACCCGAAGATCGTGAACGTGATCGAGATTATTTCCGTCGATGGTACAACGAGTACAAGAACTTACTATGACCGACGCAAGATTATACATCTTTCACGTTACCAGCATCGACTCAACCAGCTTTGTGACACAGACTTCATGAGTGAAGTGTCACAACTTTCCAGTTAGGGATATCAGAGCTCGAATCAACAACATTTTGAAGCGGGTGCGGCACTCACTTTTCTTTCTGTCGCGACTCTCTTCCTATGTGAGTATGACCAAAGGTCTCACTCATGGGGGGTGCGAACAGCCCTCGATGCCTCGTACAATTCGTTGGTGTCACGTCATGATTGGTAACTAGAGCTATGGGGAAGCAACGTAACTGGGCCGATTCTCGGACAGTTTACTGTTGCAATGATACAGCTGGCTGCCTTGCAGAATGCTGCAGAGATGTTTTTTTACTGAGTGAGCCGCTAACTTCGTGGCTCAAGAACGAGCAACCAAGTTCGACATTCTGCTAAAAGCATTAGTCACTCATTGTCTAGAGCATTCGAGCCATCCCTCTTGCACGGACCAGAGATTGTCTGAAGCTGGCGTCAAAACAAGTGAGCGCGAGCGTGTGTCATTGGGAGAGGTAGCAGTGCTGCGACTACGTCGTGAACTACAACTAAGTCGACAATCCATCACAACCAACAAGCTCTGTGAGGTGAGCATACAAGAACTAATTATATCGAATCCAAACGCTCACGCAGTAGTAGTAATAATGGTGGTGGTGGTGGTGGTAGTAGAAGTGCTACTTGTAGTAGGTAATGGATCTTGTGCATGGTTGAACGGCTGTAATCTCAGACCGGATGAATGATTGGCAGGAAATGATCGATGGTCTGCTCAAATGCCGCGGTCCGGCATCAAAAACCGACATCATTGCCATCAGGCGTGCTGGTTGTACCGACTTCGTCTCGCACAGTGTTCCGTGCGCGAGGCTGAAAACCTCCTTGGGCGTGAAGTTGCTGACGAAAATATGTGAAAAACTCGGAATTCATGATGATTGATCAGCTTTTGTCAGTGCAGGCACTTGCTTTGAACAAATTGCGCCGTGCATTGACCCTACTAACCCACTGACAAAGTAGAATCCAGTAGGCCATGCTGGGCCTGCGAAGCAGGTGCCAGAAGAGGAACAGTTGGACCCTGCAAAGCAGGGTTTTTTTGTGTGTGCGTGTGCAGGTAGTACAGCAGGTAGCTTAGTGAGCAAAGCTTTCTGTGTGCATTGGCATCAAGGGTTGAGGCAGCTGCATGCCCGCACTTTTCAGGCAGTCGGGACTAGTCAGTCTTAATTGGGTTTGAATTTGTGCATTTGCCAGGCTTTTGCTGCGATATTGCCTCTGGTCCCAAAGTGCTTTCGGTCGCTGAACCCGGCAGATCTTCCTTGCCACGCTCATTTCAGCAAGAAGCTAAGCAGTCTAAGCAGATCGGCGTTGGAAGTGCCAACAAGCGGCGGAGCTTCAGCTTCCCGGATTCGAGGGCAGTGTTTTTTACGATCAGAATGCACAGTGCTTGGCGAAACCAAATTATGGATATTCCGCGATGCTTTCGTACTGCCTTGGATCCCATCTGATGCTCTGCTGTTTGCATAGTTTTTCATCGTTACTAGAATTCAGTCCGGAAGAAGTCTCATTGCATCCAAGTTGATATGGTCTTCTTCATTCAGCACGTCGAGAGCTGTCATCTCGCTGTCTTTTGCATCCCTTTCAGAGACTGTTGAAGCTCCATGGCAGACATGGCAGTGCCGAGCTTGCGGCACCCGGCCATTTGTCGCAGCCAGCAGCCGTTGGTTGGCTTTGCAAGATTAGGATTTGGTCTGGACTTGACACAGGCTGAAAAACAAACTATACGAGCGGCATGACTTCCTCGATGATGTGACGAGATCTTCACTCGGGCAGCTCCGTTGGTAATGTTTGGCCGTTGGGGCTTGGGGTTGGGAAGTCCAGGTCATCGATATTACTCTGTGTTCGCTCGGCGAAATCAAGTTGTGCCGAGGCTGCAGTTGTACCTTTGATGCCGCTAGGCTCAAGCCTGCGCTGGACCGTAGGTTGAGGCGCTGTTGAAGTGAGATCCTCAAAGCTTCGTGCGTTGTCTATGAAGATTCGCAGTGCTTGGCCACGATTTGGGGTCGCACCCGGATCGGAAGATGCCTCTCGGGTGGGCTTTGACACCCTACTAGTTGACACCACACTGTGTCGCCAAGAATTGCGAAAGTGGACTGCATGTCCTCCCGGGTGCACGGGTAGGACAACGGAAGTTGCTGTCTTGTGCTTGCCTAGGAGTCTAGGTGGTGAGAAGTACTTCTGTAGCCATGACATGCTGAGAAACCTTCGTGAAATCACAGAGGCAAGAACAGGGACATCTTCTGTCGTCGTTGTTCCAGATTGAGCGGGCCACTCCAAGGGACCTTCACTTCAGCCAGCCTGTCGTGGCCGTCAAGGCTGATGAGGAAGCTCAAACACTCCATGTCATCCTCGAAGAAGTTGCTGGTGGTTGGACAGACTCGTCAAACGGCCAGTGCAATTTTGCAGCTTCGTTGCTAGACAAGTCCTATGTAGGAGACGGATGGAAAGACTGACATGGTCCGATGGCACATATTTCGACTGCTCTGCTCAGGGTCGGTACCAAAGGAGCACCTAGATCGCCGAAACAGTTGTTCTGATACACATGCTGTCAACCGCTGGTAGAAGCATTGGAATCGCCCCTGAGCGTAGATAGGGGTGCTTCACAACATCATATCCCAGCCATCTTCTTGGGGCAAAACTGATTAGGACAATGGGCTGCGGCGCTTGTCGTGCAGCTGGCGCCCATGCGCCTTACAGGAGAGGGTGAGGGTTGGTATCAGCACGAAGGAACATGCATGCTTCTGCTACGAGATCATGCAGGGGGTTTTCAAAGTAAATGCATGAATTGTTCTCGGGTACGGTATCGTAAGTCTGTTTGTATGCGTCGCATAACTGGCGCTCTTCGCGAAACTACAAAAGCTACATGAGCATTTCAGGGGTTACTCCGGGATAAATAAATCGAGAACGCCTGTGGTGAATCCGCGGACTCTCCCCGCAATTGTTCGCAGATGCTCTGAATCGGCTCGGGGCGCCAGCATGAACCACGTTTTCGGAATCCTTGGGCCGGCAAGGATGCTAGGACCCCAGCTGATGCTGATGATGCTCGCCGTCCCGCGGTCCAGATGAACACCCGCGTGCCCCCAGATTCGATGCTCATGATTGCAATTTCAGGATTCAAACCATCGCATCTGCAAAACGCTCAAAAACAACGGTATTCGTGGCGTTTTCACGTGTTTTCCCAGCCACCCGCCAAGGAAGCCGAGCTAACGCCGTAGATGCTGGCTGTCGAGGGGCCCGAATGCCCCAATACCGACCTGGAAGGTCAGAAATATCAGAAGACGGGGCAAAACCAGCAAAAACATTCTAATGATGAGCACGCGGGAGGTAGGCACTGGTGGAAACAGGCACTTTTTTGTAGCGTCACTGTTAGTGATCAGGATTGTGCTGCCATTCAGGATTGTGGGGGGGGGGGGGGGGAAACACTGAATGTTACACATCCAGGTGCCTATCTGTTTCACGTATCACTTGCATGTTTC